GTATATATATAATATTTTACCCATGCACTTTACATCCACATCACCTTAGTATATATATAATATTTTACCCATGCACCTTACATCCACATCACCTTAGTATATATATAATATTTTACCCATGCACCTTACATCCACATCACCTTAGTATATATATAATATTTTACCCATGCACCTTACATCCACATCACCTTAGTATATATATAATATTTTACCCATGCACTTTACATCCACATCACCTTAGTGTATATATAATATTTTACCCATGCACCTTACATCCACATCACCTTAGTATATATATAATATTTTACCCATGCACTTTACATCCACATCACTTTAGTGTATATATAATATTTTACCCATGCACCTTACATCCACATCACCTTAGTATATATATAATATTTTACCCATGCACCTTACATCCACATCACCTTAGTATATACATAATATAGAGGATATTACATGGCTGCGCAAAGATATGACTTCTATCTTCGAGTGGTGAAAACAATATTTTATGAACGAGCCCAGCGAGTGAGTAAAATATTGTTTTTAACATGAGAAGATAAAAAGTCATATCTTCAAGACACCGTGTAATGTTCTGTTTATTATATAGTCCCAAGCAAAGAATTGTGAAATTTCATGCTTAAAAGCAAATTGGAAAAAGTCACATGATCGATATCTGGACTAGTGAAGATATGGAAAATATCTCAATGTGAATTTTACAGTATCTCACTCTCTACTATATAATAAATAGAGAATAATACATGGGTGCGCGGAAATACCAGATTTATTTCGAGTGTTGAACATGATATGTCACGAGTGAGCGCAGCGAACGAGTGAGATATCATGTTCAACACGAGAAATAAATCTGGTATTTCCAAGCAGCCATGTATTTTTCTGTTTATTATATAAACAAAATTCAGTGAAAAACAATAAAACGTCCGTGGCAATGCGTTTTACAACAAATGATATTTTCACACGTAAAAATATTGTATTTTTTACGTGTGTTTAAATACGATTTTTCTCAGTGGCCAAAAACTCTATATTACACTTACGTTTATATAATAAATATATTTATTATATGGACAATGGTGTTTTACTGGGAACTAAAACACTCTTAGAACTCATATGTCACTACATCCGGGACCAAATGCGTGTATTTTCTGTATTTCACCCCTGCTAGTGACATATGAAATTCGAAAATTTCCCTCCATTAGTTGAAGTCTGGTAAACCCATTTAGACAGAGAAACAACAAAATACAGTGCACATTAAGGTTCATTGCAGCCAAGTACGTATACCCTGTTGTTACCATTTAAGAGCGAGTCTCTACAAAAATCAAACATACCGCGGCAAGGCTCAAAATTTTAAATTCGCTCTACTTTTGAATTTAAGTTAACTATGACAAAGTATGAAACGTCATATGGTTAGTTTTTAAAAATACTCTTTTGTTTATGAAAAAAAGGCAAAAAAATATGTCAGCTGTGAGGACCGATTTTCGCAATCGAAAAATGGCCGAAATTGCGTATGTTTACTTAATCCTGGTATCCAAACCGTAAATCCAAATAGCCTTATTATACTTTCTGCTAAAGATACATCACTCCCTCGTTTATTAAAAGTGGTTTTATGATAATTGAACAACTGAACACATTTGTGCACAATAAAGAGCGACGGGTACTGATCTTTATTGTTTGTCATTGCGTGTAAAAAGGGACAGATTTCTCCATTTGCCATCCTTTCAAATCTTATGAGATTTTGCACAAGCACTATTGGAAAACTGCTCTTTTCAGAAATGTATTATTTATTTTGGGCAAATAAATTCACGCGCTACGAGAAAGAGTTAACTTTGGTTCATTAAATATGCAAAAATCACTGTTTGGCAATTGACCATTTGCGTAATAGACTAAATTTTGATCTCAACAAGTCTAGACAAAAATTTCATCACAGCTTGAAAGAGCATCATAAAATTAG